TTACAATAATGAACGATGACAATTTACGCTCGAGATAATGTGATTGCTGATTGGTCGACTAAAATCTCGTAAAAATTACACCAATCACCAGCCGGTGAAACAGAATGTTGTGTTTAATGTAATCTTGATCTTATCCTTTTAATAATTTTTAATTTTGTCTAAATTTAATTGTCAACGTGAATGAAATAAAATTACACACAACACAATTATTGGTCACGTGGCTTGTAATCATTTATACTTGCATATGACAGGATAGTTGATATTATATTTGGAAATATCAATCAATGGTGCCAATAGTTACCGTTAATTTTTAAGTTGCTAGGAATGCTAGGCCTTAAATGAATAACTTCAGACTTTGACAAACGAGTTAAGATCACTTATACTTATTGTATTATTTTAATTGTAGGTACCACTAACATTCATAACAAGTATTTTATATTTATTTATACGAGTATAATTTGGTACCTAAATGTGAGTACAAATTGTTATTTTCTTATATGTTAATTTGCCGTTTATTTTAATAAAACCCGTTCCTTCAAATTATTGAGAAATTGTATTCAGCAAATACCGACTATTACTATTGTTTTATTGATCAGATCTCGCTTAATTGACTAATCCGAATTTACAATTAGATTAATCGACATCTTAGATAAATAGTAAAATAAAACACTGCTATTATTATCGTATAAGATTAGTCATTTGTTACACTTTGATCATACATCTTCAAATACTAAATACTGACAACCAGCAATGCACACATTAAGTAAATAAAATTGTCTAAATTCAGTTCGAGAAGAAAAAACGAACAGCAAAATAAATAATACCGTTGAGTTCACTCAACGGTAATACGTAATTTTGAACACCGATAAGTGTTGGCCAAACTTCATGGCACAGACTAACAAAAAAAGTTTCTATAAACATGTGTTTGGACATGCTTCTCTTTCGATATACAATGTGTTCAAAATTAATGAATATATAGGGTTTATTCTAAGTAGCAAAAAATAGTTCAGCTAGGCCTTGTAAATAATATTTAGTTTCATTTATATATCACGTGGTTATTTAATACTCATTTTTATTTCAACAATCATTGGATGGATTGGTACTTTTAGCATTAATTACCTAGAAATGGTAAAATATTTTATCATTTATCTCGAACACGGTACATCCACTGCGTTTTAGCAACATGCAAGAAGCAAATTCATTTTCTTCCGAAACACAATACTATATTGAGTTAAATTTAAAATAGCTTGGAAGATAAAATGTAAACGAAAATTACTATGTCCATTCCTGTATATAACAAACTTGTGTCACCAAATACAAATTTGGAAAATCCAAAATTGGGCCATATGCCAAATTCGAATGAAATCGATATAGCCGTTTTTTTTTAATTTTATCCTCTAGTCTAGTACCTACATGTTTCACATTTTTAAATTAAAAGAAATTTGTAGATAATGCCTACATAGTTATCGTGGTTTCATAAAAAAATTGTGTCGTTAATGCTTAATTTATTGTCGTTAGTGCTACTATAGCTTCAGAAAAATATTAATTTATTTTAGAATCGAAACAAAATTTGTCTGTTAGTGCTTCGTCAGTGCTTCTTTTCACTAGCGCTCGCCTAGCTTTCCAATGATAATTATTTTTTATTTCAATGTCAACACCCAAATTGATGTTCGTTAGTGCTTCTTATTCCATAATTATGTTCGTTAGGGCATCACCTTTAGTTTCAGCAATAGGTATTTGATTTTTTTTATTTCAAAGTGTTTCGGATCTATATCATTTATTAGTGCTTTCTTAGTGTTTTAATTATTTTCGTTGGTACATCTTTAATTCTAGCGATATTTAATTTCTTTTTATGTCAAGATGAACCAGATTTGGTGTCATATGTTAGTGCTAGTGGTTTTTCTTTGTTTTTTTTTAGCTTTCTTGTTTTAATTATTTTTTACTTACAACAGTGCCCCTAAAACAAGTCATATCTAAAGGAATTTAGTGTAATTCATAGTGTGCTTTAGTTCCAACAATATTTGATTATTTTTAATTGCAAGGTGAGCCATAATGTTTTTAGAATCGAAACCAAAATGGCTGTTAGTTATCTTTATTCATAGTCGATATATAGTTTTTCTTCTTTCACATTATGAAGTGAGTTCAATTACAAGTTATGTATATATGTATATTTTCTTAGAACGACAAAAAAATGTTTTACGAGTAAAATTTTATCTATTTTTATGAAAGAAATTAATTGCAATTATTGGGAACTAAGTTCACGGACATACACATGTAGATATTACATAATTGATGTTACTTGATAATAACATAAAGCTAATCATTTATTTATCTATTACTTAGTTGTTGTTATTTATTCTTGTGGTCTAAAAATACAAACGTTGTAACGTAATTTTTTTCCGCTACGTCTACCTTTTCCATTTTACCGTGTCTTCCTCTATTATTAAAGAAGTCTAATAGTTATTTACATAAAAGTGGGATATTTATGTCGCAGGCTAATTGCAGATTCAGTCTTTTTATAAAATACCTATGCGTTTTATATATGACGAGGAAAATTGTAAAATGATGTGTAATTACAATTTTTGTACAATTTGACTGAAAATTGTAGGCGCTTTATAAAACGTCGAATAGTTATAAGTCTTATTAGTCCAGGCGCTATCTGTATCGGGTTGGGTAAAACGCATATGATCGGAGATTTTTGCTTTAACGGCTTCTAAACAACATCAGAAATCATAATATTTCTATGCAAATAAAAAAAACGTGGGCTTAATTGTTATTGCAAAAAAGTATAAAAAAATAGCAAAAAAATTCATTTTTTTCTTGGATTTCTCGTCGACAACTTAGCAACTATTCATTTTAGACAAAAATGGAAGAGGAAAAAAAGTTTTGTAATTAAATTTTGATCAAGATAGAGTTAGTTGCAATTCGAAAAAATAATTATTGTTATTGCAAAAATCGGAAAAATCATTTAAAAAATTGCAAAAAATGCTAGTTTATTTGTCAATTTTTTTCAGACACTTGAATAATACCTAGGATCTTCATACTTTTCCCAATTAAACTTCTTAGTGCATAGAATCATCACACCAAATTTCATCCAATTCGGTTAGATAATTTTTACATAATAATTGTTTAAATTTTTATTTTTTTTTAAATTAAAAAATTTTCAAAATCAAATTTCTAAAAATCTAAAGCCTTTGAATACTTGAAAATTTCACCACAAAAAGAAGAGCTCTCAAGCTTTAAAATGGTTTTTGAAAAATTCAAATCGGACGCTTAGGTGAGCCGTGGTGATTGTTTAAACATTTTCGCAATTGCAAGTCCAATAATTAATAATAAAAGGTAGTTGAACATATGATAATTGAATTTTTTAAGTTGCGAGACAGCGATTTAAAAAAAGAATCATCGAAATTGGTCCATTAGAAGCTGAAATAATTGAAATTTTTCCGAGCATCGCAGTTTTGAACTCGAGAATTCAGATCAGAATAGCTACGTGTTTGCTCCCCCCACCACTGATACCTCATGGATTTCACGCGGTCTTGAATATCTTTGAGTGACATTTTAAATGGGACGCCCGTGATTGCAAATTTTGAAAATTTATATCTGGAAAGTACTCGGAATGACAAACCTATTAGTTCAAAAAACAGCCCTTATACCCTTATAGTTTTGCTGTAAATTAGGGTTAACTTTAATTCCGAAAATAATGGGCGGATCATAATTTTTTTTTAATACTCGTCTTTCCGAGTACTTTCAAACCATATTTTAAAATAAAAAAAATTGGAAAAAACATTAAATTATTGTAATTGTTTATAAGCGTTTTGTGAAAATGTTTAAACAATCACCACGGTTCACCTAATCGTCCGATTTGAATCTTTCAAACAACATTTTAAAGCTTGAGAGCTCTTCTTTTTGTGTTGAAATTTTTAAGTATTCAAAGGCTTTAGATTTTTAGAAATTTGACTTTGAAAATTTTTTAATTAAAAAAAAATAAAAAATTTAAACAATTATTATGTAAAAATTATCGAACCGAATTAGATGAAATTTGGTGTGATGATTCTATGCACTAAGAAGTTTAATTCGGAAAAGTATGAAGATCCTAGGTATTATTCAAGTGTCTGAAAAAAAATTTACAAATAAACTAGCATTTTTTGCAATGTTTTAAATGATTTTTCCGATTTTTGCAATAACAATAATTATTTTTTCGAATTACTCGAAACTCTATCTTCTCTCTATCGAACTCTATCTTGTTCAAAATTTAATTACAAATCTTTTTTCCTCTTCCATTTTTGTCTAAAATGAATAGTTGCTAAGTTGTCGAGGAGAAATCCAAGAAAAAAATTATTTTTTTTGCTATTACTTTATACTTTTTTGCAATAACAATTAAGCCCACGTTTTTTTTATTTGCATAGAAAAATTATCATTTCTTATGTTGTTTAGAAGCCGTTAAAGCAAAAATCTCCGATAATATGCGTTTTACCCAAGTCTACCCTTTTTAAAACAGATACCGCCTGGACTATATTGTAAACGCATTTTAATATTCATTTACTTTGAACAGTCGTTAATAAGGATAGGAGTCGGTCTAAGTTGTTGTGTGTGCTCAAATTGTAAATAATAGTAAAAATACAGGTTATCCGAAACTGTATAAGTATGGTTGCAGTTTCTGCTCACAATATTAATGGACCAAATTCTTACGAAACTGTATTGAAACCTTGGTATTAACGGAGTTACATAACCTCAAAATTATTTTTTCAAATAAATATCCAATTTTGCACACTTATTATTGGTAATCTGGCCTTTATAATTAATTGAAATTAATTTGGCACATACAGATTTTTTAATAAGAATATTTTTTCCACATAAAATGAAATAGTTGTTATATCATATTTTTGAATACCAAATTCCTGTGGAATTGCCCCGTCTTGCCTTGCCACATCTACGCTACTGATGATTTGATGATTATACAGCAGCCCCACAAAAAAGTTCTGTACCAGCGACATGACATGGATTTTGTGTATTTTTTAATGCTCAATCCGTATACGCAGCCTAAAAAACGATTTACCAGGTAATTTTTTAGTAAAACACGAAAATATCACCTAAAATAGAGTGAAATAGTAGGGATACCCCAAGACACATTTTTCTATTCAATATTTTTGCCTGAATTTTGTTACTGCGGGTTTTTAGAGTCGCTGATTACGAATCTGAAGTCCGACTCCGAAAATTCCTGAATAAAAGAGGGGGATGCAATATAGCAGATGTAAAAATCGGAAAACCATTCAAAATTTGAAGATTATGACTGATACTTATTACTCGGTGGTTTTCAAAGGCGTCTATCACGAAAATAATGTTTTAATTAGGAAAATATTAAATCCAAAATGGCGGACCTATTATGGCAGACTGAATAGTACCTACCTACGATAGATATTGGTACTTACTACACAAAGAAATCCGTTATGAAAAACAGGCAAATATCTAAAAATGAGAAACAAAGAATATACATTCAGGTTTCCGTCTCTTTTTCTAACTTTTTTTTGTGGGGCTGTGTTATTAGTCCGTGAAGAGACCGCCGCAGAACCATGTCATATAGCAACTGATGAAGAAAAAATGGCCCTGAGTACACAATAAATTCACTGTCGATTGGAAAGATAAAAAAAAACATGATCTGGAGAAGTTAGGCGCCTTCATTTGTCCGTTACATAACATAAGTTTTATAGTATATTTTTTATAAAGTGTACATATTTCGATAGAACGTTTCTTTAACATTTCAGGAGTATAAGGTTTACTGGGTCTGTCTCTAATAATGAGAGATAATGAATAGCAAAAAGAGTAAAGAGATTTTTCGGTGGGGACATCCTACAATTTTATTTTTGCTATATTTAAATAAATCATCTTTTAAATATTTTGAGTCTGTGGCATGTGTAGACCTTCCTACATCTCTATTAGCATTTGGATATTATTCTAACATGTTATCTAGATTGGTATTTTATCGCTTTGACAACGTGCTGATTCCTACAGGAAGTTTAATGGCATATTAAGAATGTACCTATGTAAATTTTTTATGGTAGATAATTTTTATTTGCTCCTACCAACTCATTCAAATTATTTCTAAAGTATTCCGATAAGATTATGTACAGCATAACACAAAAAGATAAATACAGTGGAACTATAAATAGCGTTCAAATAAAAATGCTTTCTTATCTCATGTTAGTCTACAGAAAGAATAAATCGAAATGGCTCTAAAATGGGGAATAGCAGCTGCTGGCAAAATTTCAAGTGATTTCGTTGTTGCTCTGAAGGCACTTCCTTCAGATAACCATCAAGTTGTGGCTGTAGCAGCGCGTTCATCAACTAGTGCTGAAAAATTCGCGAAAGCTCATGGAATTCCTCAGGCTTACGAGGGTTACCAGAAACTTGCGGAGGATGGCAATGTGGATGTCGTTTACGTGGGCGTGTTAAATCCTCAGCACTACGAGGTTTCCAAATTGATGCTGGAAAATGGAAAGCACGTTCTGTGCGAGAAGCCGTTTACGATGAATGAGAAACAGACTAGGAAGTTGATTGAGATCGCTAAGGCTAAAAAACTGTTTATTATGGAAGCTATTTGGTCGAGGTGTTTCCCGGCATATAAAGAACTTAGAAAGATCATAGAATCTGGAGATATTGGGGAGGTAAGGTTTTTAGTATAAGGTCTTAGTGGTGAGTTAATTTTCGTGCTATAGTAAGAAGCTATATTTAGAAGATGACGTTTTAGATAAATTACTTTAAAATAATTACTACAAGTATTTTACTTTTTTGTTTTTTAAACTTTTGACAGCATTAGTGAAATACACATTTGATTTATAAACAAAATGGTATAATAAAAAAAATTATTATATTTCCACATTTTATTTATTATTTTAAAATATTGAAATTCGTTAAATTTTATATATAATTATATAATATATACAGCGTGGTAAAAAAGTTCTGCATAAAATTCATATTTTCGTTAAACAATTTTTTTTTCGAAAAACGGCGAGACCCGTCGATTTTTATTTGATCCAGGACACCTTGTTATGTGGAAACATTTTTTTTTCGATAATCCACTTACGGCAGCGATGACATAATTTTTTTTTAAATGACAACGCATATTTTTTTCGTTCGAAATTGATGACAGTGATAATTATCTAAACAACGGTGTGAAAATTTCGATGTCTTACATAACAATTTTTTTTAGAAAAATGCACCTTAAGTTCTTGAATGCAATAATTTGCTGTTTACGGATCAAATGCCTTAGAAAAAAATTTATTCGGCAGAAAGCATTTCAGATAACTTAAGTTGCAACTGGTGTTATGTAATATTTGCGGAATTATTCATCAGATATTGTCAGGATCCTGATTAAACTGCAAAATTTAGAACCAAGTTCAACCGCACAAAATCCAAATAGTATGTAGCAAATTAAGGTCGACTTTTTGTCTTCGAGTTTGCCGATAAATTCCTAAAAAAAAAAGATCCAAAGAAATGTTTACTTGAAAGGAGTAGATTACCTGAAATATTGAAGACTAAAAATCAGTACCGATTTAACATTCTTTGGTGAAATCGTTTAATTCGAAATGGCAAAACTTAGTGAACGCGAAAGAATTGATATTTTGAGGATGATTGGTTTCGGCGATAAGTTACGAACCCATCAAGAAGCTTGCCAATTATTTAATGCAACGTACCCTGACAGACCACCAATTACGCAATCTACGGTTAGTAGGGTACTGGCAAGGTTTGAGGAAACTGGTAGTGTGAAAGATGCTCCTCGTGCGGGTCGTCCTAGAGTAGATGATGAAACTAGATTGAATATCCTGGTGGAGCTCCAGGACAACCCTCATTCTAGTACAAGGTCGATTGCATTGAACAATGATATTTCACATGTAACTGTGGTGAACTTTCTCAAAAAAGAGAAATTTCACCCCTATAAGGGTCACTTGATACATGCATTGACTGAGGACGACCCAGACCGCCGTCTCCACTTTTGTGAAGATTTAATGCATCGATGTAACGGAGACCCCGACTTCCTCAAGAACATAATTTTTTCTGACGAGGCTACTTTTTATCTTAATGGATCGGTGCATCGACATAACTGCCGGTATTGGTCTCAGGAAAACCCGCACTGGGTGCAAGAAGTAGATCATCAGCACCCCCGAAAGGTGAACGTTTGGGCGGGAATAATAGGGCGTCGTATTTTAGGCCCGTATTTTTTCGAGGAAAATTTAACTGCTGCTCGCTATTTGGATTTCCTGCGGTTCGATTTGGTCCCAAGCTTAGCAGAGTTATTCCCGAACAACGAGGATCCTGATATTCCTGAGGAAAGAATTTGGTTTCAGCAGGATGGTGCACCGCCCCATTATGGAGTGCAAGTACGGGAGTACTTGAATAACACGTTTACTGGCCGGTGGATCGGGCGACGCGGAACAATCGAGTGGCCTCCGCGTTCGCCTGATTTAACACCTCTAGACTTTTTTTTGTGGGGCTATTTGAAATCGCGTGTGTACACAAACAGACCAGGTGATTTGGAAGAACTTAAAAACCGTATTCGTTTTGAAATAAATCAAATCGACCCGGGAATGCTTGAACGAAGTGTAGACGGCGTTTACACACGCTTAGGACAATGCCAAATGGTACAGGGTGGGCAATTCGAACAATTTCGCTAGACTTACACAAACATTAGTGTAATTTTACTCGTTTGAAATGTAATTTTGTCAACTTTGTCCTTTTCGGAGCCATTAATAGTGTAAGTAGACAATTATCACTTATAAGAACTTAAGGTGCATTTTTCTAAAAAAAATTGTTATGTAAGACATCGAAATTTTCACACCGTTGTTTAGATAATTATCACTGTCATCAATTTCGAACGAAAAAAATATGCGTTGTCATTTAAAAAAAAATTATGTCATCGCTGCCGTAAGTGGATTATCGAAAAAAAAATTTTTCCTCATAACAAGGTGCCCTGGATCAAATAAAAATCGACGGGTCTCACCGTTTTTCGAAAAAAAAATTGTTTAACGAAAATATGAATTTTATGCAGAACTTTTTTACCACCTGTATACAAAAATTCAATATATAGAATTGTATTAGATTATAACATATCAGCACATTTGATCTCAAAAAGTAAACAAAATAGATTTTTATCTACAGTGTGTCCCGTATTAAATTTATAGTGCCTGTATTCTTTCTTTGTCCGATTGGTATTTGTTTTCACTTTCATGGCTTTGACCTGCTTATTATAATTTTTAGATGTCTGATTTCTTGAAGTTTGGCACCTCATAAAAAACACTCAATAGACATTTGTCGTTCAAATTTGGTATATGGGTATTTTAATGGGCGTTGAATAGCCTGGTAATATTACCTTTTAATAAAAACTGCCTAATACTACTTTCCCGAAAACGACCCTTTTAAAAAATCGTAGTAGATCAGGCTTTTGTGACATCAATAAAATTATTAGTATAATATAACCTCCTTTCAGGGTACTATTTGTAAAAAAATTGGCTTGCGGAAAGTTCATAGCCTTTATTTCGTCTATTGTTGAAAAACATTGTCCTTTGAGTATCCTTTTGAGTTTGGGAAATAGGAAAAAGTCACAGATGTTATGTCCGAAGAATAGGGTGGTTGCGGCATCGCAACGGTGTTGTGTTTGGCCAAGAACTGTTGGATAAGCAAAGCTGTATGCGCCGGTGCGTTGTCGTGGTGCAAAATTGCACAATCGGGCAGTGAAAATTCGTGATGAACTGTTCCATTGTAGTCGAAGAAAACGATTAGGAGAATGTTTACATTTGACCAGATGTCGTCTCATATTGGACGTCTTCTTGACCTTGAACTCGTGGTTGTGACATAGTATCGTCGCCAAAGCCTTCTTTCACATTTTGCTTCGTTGCACTTAATTCCGTTTTTAACACAAAATATCGCACAAATCTTTCTAATGCGAAATTTCGCCAAAATAAAAATCGCCAAAAACACTGAGGTAAGTCTTATTCATTCGCTCGTGGCAGCTGCCAGGTACGTCACTGACAAATACACAAAAGAAGAATCAATTCGAAAGACAAGATGCAACATGCGCAATTTGAAAATTTCCGTTACTGTTTGATTAACCTTCGTAGCACAAACGTGCTTATTTGAAAAGTTAATTTAGATTGAAACTATAATTTCATCGCACTATCAATCAAGTCTGTAGAAAGAATGAACAATATTATTATTTTGAATAAAGTACGCACGCCTTTAACTTTTCTTTCGCAATCCTTCTTCAGCGGAAGATAAAAAATGTCTGTTAACACTAATAATCTATTTAGTAGTAGTAGTAGTAGTAGTAGTAGTAGTAGTCGTAGTGGTAGTGGTAGTGGTAGTGGTAGTGGTAGTGGTAGTGATAATCTGTTTGTAATTGTACCATTATTGTACCATCCAAAAAATGGTACCTACGAGTATATCACACTTCATTGCTTTCTAATTGTGTGGAATTTATTAGACTGAATTTGTTCATTACAATAACTTTGTTCCTAGCGCATTAGAATTAGTTTCCAACAGTCAGACTAAATGAAAGTTGATTTGAAACAATGAATTTTGTATGTGTAATCATTTTATCGGATTGCGGATGCCTCTGACTATTAGAAATTACTTTGAATTGCTCAAGGAATAAAGCTAATGAAAAAAGATTGTAGCTAGTGACGTCTATTTAATTGTACATAAATTATAATCTAATCAAACAGTACTTAATTGTATAGAAGAATTCACTGATAAGCTTCTTTATACTTAACAAATCTCCAGAATGTCTAGACATAGTAATTTTGAATGTCAAAATGTTTTTAGTAAAGTCGGATTTGGTAGGGGTATTGTTCTCTTTGGTAAAATTTGCTATGTACAATGACATATCTTTCAAATTTCTTTGTTAAAAAATTTACAAAGTAGAGACGGATGCGCAGTGGGGTACGGAAAGGGGGTTTTGGAGATCAGAACCATTCCATGACAAGTATTTCCCATAATTCCCGTATATATACCAGGTTGGAACTGTTTGATTGGAACTACAAGAATATCATAAATTCATGAAGATATCGGGTGTCCCAAATTATGAGTTACTAAAACGTTTTTTGGAAATTTCCAGCTAATGTATATAATGAGTACATTGGAAGAAAAAAAAAACATTTTCCATTATTTTAAGATAATTTAATGAAACTTCGTTTCTAGATATTGCAGGTACCCTATATCACTCTAATGACCATAACGGTGAAGTCAGATTTTCTATATACCTACTTCACTATTTTTGAGATACAAAAATTAACCAATTTTTAATGGGCGCTATACAAGGTGTCCCGTTCATGTTCCAAAAAAACTTGTGTACAAGTTCCTCATGGAAAAATAATAGGGGTAGATCATATAAAGTTTTTTTCTTAGTCGCACCGTTTTTGAGATACAGTGTGTTGAAGTTATTAGTTTCCAAATGGTTTTTCTTAATTATCTTTAAATCGGCTAATGATAACAATGTCAAAATTTGTACACGAGTAAACATCAACTGTGCGTTAAAAATAATTTGCAAACGGTTTCTTTCTGAAAAGCAGTGTCGCCGATACAGGTAATTGGAGAGGTACAGTCGAAAAAAAATATGTTAAAAGTCAAAATTTATTATATTTCTAAACAGTTCTGTAAACTCTAAAGCATACTACAAAAAAAGGTATACATGTTGAAATTCGGTAGCATGTACCATTTTCGAGAAAAATAAAGTTGCATAGAAGCAAATGGGAGACAATTTCAGCATCTACTGTAGTATTTCAAGTTTTGCTCATTTATTTAATTGTACAGTTGTTTTGTTCTGTATGTCTCCGAGTCCGTTTCCTAATATTTTTCTGTTCTTATTACTTTTTTTTAAGCATTCATGTCCATCAACAATTCACTCCATTCAACAATTGTTTATTTTATTAATGATAGTGTAGTAGTTTACAAAATATAAAATTAGTTATTAATAGATAATTAATTACCATAATCTGTTTATTTTGATTTACTTTTTTAAATGTTAGTTCTCAACAATCTGAAACTTAGAATAAATTTCATTTTTTTTTAGTTAATAAAATGTTTTACAATTTAACTGGTTCGTGTTATACGAAATAAATTAAAATTACAGTCTTAAATGCAAATACTGTTGGTAACTAAATGTCTTCAGCTCATTCAGTGGTAAAGTCCTCTTTCAATTTAATATTTTGTTATGCCGCTTTATGTGAGCAAAAAAATGCAACTTCATTTTTCTCGAAAATGGTACATGCTACCGAATTTCGACAAGTATACCTTTTTTTTTGTTGTATGCTTTGTAGTTTACAGAACCGTTTAGAAATGTAATAAACTTTTAACATATATTTTTTTCGATTGTACCCCTCCAATTACCTGTATCGGCGACACTGCTATTTAAAAATAAACCGTTTGCATATTATTCTTAACTCTTGATTATTAACTTGATGTTTACTCGTGTACAAATTTTGACATTTTTATCTTTAGCCGATTTAAAGATAATTAAGGAAAACCATTTCGAAAGTAACAACTTCAACACACTGTATCTCGAAAACAGGGCGTCTAAGAAAAAAACGTTACATGAACTACCCCCATTATTTTACCATGAGGAACTGGCACACAAGTTTTTTTGAAACATGAACGGGGCACCCTGTATAGTCATAGAAACAGTTAGTAGATGACTATCTCCCCAAACATGTATTAATTCATATTATTCATAAAACTGTTGCGAAAATACAATAATATACGATGTTTAATTATTTTTTTGGAACTATTACAAATAAATATAGATTTTTATTAACAATTATACCTTTTTAGGTGGTTCAAGCAAGCGTGGAATTTGGCTTTCCAATTTCAAACAATGATCGTATAAAGTCAAAGGAGCTGGGGGGAGGGACAATACTAGATCTGGGAATATATGTTCTTCAATTTCAGCAGTATGTCTTTCGTGGCCTCACTCCATCCAAGGTGGTGGCAAGTGGACACTTAAACGAAGATGGTGTTGACAACTCGGTTTCTGCAATTCTCACTTATCCAGGAAGTAAGACGGCTTTAGTTTCCATATCCAGTCTGGTGAAATTGTCCTGCCAGGGTATGTAGAATCAAAATTAACAGATTTTATTTTCAGTCATTCGAATGAGTTAGAATAATTAATAAGTGAATCTTTGACACAGTTTCTGACATTTGACCTCTCTAGATATATGTATGCAATCTTTGGGATCGTCTCGATCTGGATGGATTGTATTTGTATACCGCAGCTTAGTTGCTTGTCATAATTCGAATTTCGAAGGCTTTCCCTGGAGAAAAATTTGGAAAATTCAAAACTGGGCTGCTTTCTTGGTCGTCACGTGGTGGATTTTGGCAAGAGTATTGAGCTTGCTGTCAATATCTTAGATTTTTTTGGAGTATATCCTTTCTATATTTGTTTCAAATAAGCCTCTAATCGGTGATATTCTCCTATATTTACTTTTCTGCGCACTGGTCTTTAACATTGAATGTCCACAATGTGTTTGGGCTGAATGATTCTGACTAAAAGATATATAGGTCTGCCGAGGATGTGAATCGGCGGGTGAAACTTCTCTGCATATCCTGGGCGAGTGCCCGGGATTTGCACGTAGCAGAATGGCGCTCCTTGGGAGACCCTATTTGGAACACAAGGAACTGAGAGAAGAGTCAGCAAGGAAGCTTTTGCACTTTGTAAAAAGGACAAATCTACTTGCTGAATAGGACTGGTAGTGGGACGCACAATAGGCCTAATTAGGCCGCAGTGCTATGGGACTTTTCAAGGACCAACCACTAGATGAAGAAGAAGAAGAAGAAGAAAAGATATATAAAATGTATAAATTATAAATATTTATAAATATTTCTTTAAAGTGATAACAGGCAATACACACCAGTTCTTGGAAATATCCCATTGATATAGTTTCACTAACAGCTGCCACTCAATTTCTGCTTGCCCAAGCCTCAAAACGTTTATATTCTTTATCATAAAGTGATTTAGATTTCTTAGGCAGTAATTCTTCATTGGCTTTATTGGCTCTAGCAGCAACTATTGCTGGAATATCGCATTTAGTCGATTTGGCAAAATAACTGTTCAATTCAAATAACGAACCGGATTTTTCTTAAACTCGCGTTGAAAATGTCGAGGAGTTATTGCGTAAGCTTCATAGTAAAAATAATTTTCTTGTGAAAATTAATATGTTAATGTAAAACAAACTCAAAAACGTCACTCGTCGATCCAAATCAATGAGGCAACAACTCTTGCATTTTTTTGGACACGATATGGATGCAGTAGATTACGTTTAAGAATTCGGTTTACAGAAGTTCTTGATAACCCAGTCTGTCGAGATAAACGTCTAGTAATACTTACTTGCGGTTCATCTTCAATTGTTTGCAAATTAATTTCTTTATCTTGTACCCCTATTACATTAGGACGTTCTCGGATGTTGCTGAAAAATTTTCTTGTCTCTCGAGCTCGTCTTTCAACATTAGAAAATATTTCTCTATGAGGAACCACACGATTTGGAAATCTCCGATATTCTTCCACACTTCTTCTACAGTTTCCTTCGCAGAAACCCAGCACAAGTAGCATATCAACTTGTTCGCTAAATGTAAATTTTCCAGCCATTTTCAACAACAATCAGAGGCAATTGTTGAAATAAAATAATTTTATTACTAACAAGTGTGAAGCTAAATTCATTGACTTTTTGATTATTTTCTAATGAACACTGTTAAAATCTTGTGTCAGTTAATACGGTTTTTCTTGAAAACCATAAAGTTTAGACTAAAGACTAAAAAAAATTTTTTTAATTAAATTCTGCTGTGAATTAATATTATTATTTTTCAATTCGGTAAATGAAAAAAAAGTTCGGTACAATTTTAGGGGTGAGTCATCCCCAATGAACACCTTGTAGTGCTTCAATTAACTTTAAATCATAGTCAAAGAAGACCAGTAATAAACCTAAATCATGTACCAAATTTGGTTCTTCTGCGGTAAAGTGTAAAGGAGCTAATAACTCCTGAGGGGTGCAACTTTGTATATAGGCAAGTTTAGTTAAATTACAATATTTTGGACACCCCTACATGCACCTGCCCTGTGTCGGTTCTTATGCGGGACACCCTATATATTGAAAAAAACTGTTTTCATTCTCATTTACATTTAATTATTAAATTAAACTAAATATAAAATCAGATGTGTAAGTAAAAAATAAACAAATATGCACCACGAGAAATACTAGGATGATTGTGCCCTTAGGCCTGCGGGCATAATCATCCCTGTATTTCTCTTGGTACATAAATAACTAGTTGTTTGCACGGAAATTTGTGCAGAGATTTTTAATCGTAGTTAAATCGTTATGCTGTGTCTTTTGCGTGTAGCTACACATCTAATAATAATAATTTTCAGGCATTTAATTATATTTTTGTTGAAGGTATTATCTACGGCACAAAAGGAACCATAAAAGTCGACGAAGTCTGGAGCCCCACTACGTTGGATTTGAATGGACAAGTTCAAAAGTTCCCTTTGATAGAAAACAAGGGTAGTTTTAATTATTACAATAGCGCAGGTTTGGCTTACGAAGCAGAAGAAGTCAGGAAATGCATAAGAGCTGGTGCTATCGAAAGTGAGCAAATTACTCACAAAGAAACCATTCAGTTGGCTCACCTGATGGATAAGTTGAGGCAGGACGTAGGTGTGGTGTTCCCAGCTGATTCAGAAAATTATTGAATGAATTAAGTTTTGAGCATTACTATTATTGTATAGTTATTCAGGGTAAAATTTCATCAATATTATTATTCAAGACCATTATATATTTTTTGGAAGTTATATTGTATACTTAATAAAATGTTTTGATTTAATAATTTTTTGGATTATTTCATAATTTCAAATGATAATTATTTACAGGTAATGTAAGTCGCTATTCAATATTTTTCAATTAACTATACTTAATTAATTTTTTTATTAAATAGGGGATTATTTATATGAAACAACACAAAAGCTACTAGATAACCTTGAGTTGAAAATATGAAAATTAAGTTAAATATACCTTAGTCCAAAAATGCTTCGTTATCAAGTTACAGGGTGTTTAAGTTTTTGAGACACATTGTCGATTCACAAATATTTCAAAAGATGTCGTACAATAACGAAACTTCAGCTGGCAATATGTTTAAATAAAGGTAAAATTTCACTGAATTTTTTTGCAATTGTAACAACTGGTAGTGGAGATACGGAAAGACACCCCCACTAAAAATCTAAAAATTTCGAATCCACCGAGTGTTTGAAGAATTGGTAAGTCCTTTTAATTTACAATTGCATTTCAGGAAACAAATTTCATAGATTTGTTTGTGAAATATTTAATTTTAGTTAAGTTTTCTTAGACTAAAATTAAGTTACACAATATNAAGAGGAGGTATTGGAGCTATGTACCAGTAGCGCACATAAAAGGGAAATTCAAGGTAGTTAAATTCCAGTGAGTCTAGATCCATTACTATGGAGTTTAATGCTTAGATTGTGGAATATTGTACATCAGGGCAGGCTCAAAATTTTTTGTTGTACAAGACAAAATATAATTTGCCATCTCATTGTAAAATAATCTTATTTACAATTCGAGTATTCCATTTTATGTAATTTTTTAAACCAGACATATGATAATTATGCTTAATATACAAGATGGATAAATTGCACTGGAGCTCTGCGTAATTCAAAAAGAGAATGCACTTGATGCAGAATGAGATGAGAATGCGTAGCAGGTGACCCATTGAAAAGGTATAGTCTTAGTCCAAAGTTGCTTTATTTTCTAGTAACAGGGTGTTTAGTTTTTATGCACACAACATATTAATCTGTTATTTTTTCAACTATCCAAAACTCTTCTCATACGTCGTGTTGTCTTTTAATTTTCACCGGTAATTCGTTGTCTATTAAGTGATGAGACATGAGTTACACAATATATAACAATATATTATATATAACAATAAATATAAAATAATTCTAAAATCGTTCGTTTCATAAAGAGATAATAGTAATTCAAGGACTCGGTGCTTGAGTCCCACATGTTTTGAACGAAAACAATAAGAATCAACGGAACGTTTTCTTCATCGTATTGTCACTGCTGATGAAAAATTGTCTGTATGTGAACTTGAAACAGCGGAAAGAATGATTAAGCTTCAATAAAACAAGCAAATCCGCGAACCAGACCAGAACTTCATCCTCGAAAGACAATGTTATGCGTCTGATGAGATTGGAAAGGGATTCTTTATTACGAACTCTTACCAAACAAACAGTCAACGCAGAACTCTTATGTCCACGCGGTTATTTAATAAATAAAACCTGATCGGCGATACTCATTTTGCAACATGACAATTCGCGACCACATATCGTCAATATGAACAAAATTGAAATTGAATTGGGAAGTTTTGCTCCACACGCCTTACTCTTTAATTTTCACCTCTTCCGCTCTTTGTCAAACTCCTTACGCGATGTATCTTTTAACAACGATAATGAGTTAAGATCTTGGTTGGATGAGTTTTTCGAGCCAAAACCGGAAGATTTCTACAGAAGAGGCATCAAGTAACTTGTTGGTCGTTGGAAGGAGGTCATAAATAATGCTGGAGAATACATCACTGATTAGCCTATTGCCTATTAGCCTATAATTATTGTAGAGTTAATAAAGAATCTTAATATCTTAAATTTGAAAGAAAAATGGACATTACTTATGCCCCAACTCATTATATACAATGTAATCATTACAAATTCAAAAAACATTGGCATGAGAATTTTGAATTTTCTGAGGAATAGTAACGCCACTGAATCTTTGAAGTTTTAATAATTTAATAAAAAATCCTTTAAACAAGTGTATTTAAACGAAGGAGCACAAAAAATGCTTCCAAATCATCTTGAGGAATAAATATGATAATTATGCTTAATATACAAGATGGATAAATTGCACTGGAGCTCTGCGTAATTCAAAAAGAGAATGCACTTGATGCAGAATGAGATGAGAATGCGTAGCAGGTGACCCATTGAAAAGGTATAGTCTTAGTCCAAAGTTGCTTTATTTTCTAGTAGCAGGGTGTTTAAGTTTTTGGAAGGTGTCACAAATATGCAAATATCTCGAAAGATGCTNAATGCGCGACCACATATCGCCAATATGACCAAAATTGAAATTGAATTGGGAACTCTTGCTCCACACGCCTTACTCTCCCGATTTTTAATTTTCACCTCTTCCGCTCTTTGTCAAACTCCGTACGCGATGTATCTTTTAACAACGATAATGAGTTAAGATCTTGGTTGGATGAGTTTTTTAAGCCAAAACCGGAAGATTTCTACAGAAGAGGCATCGAGTAACTTGTTGGTCGTTGGAAGGAGGTCATAAATAATGCTGGAGAATACATCACTGATTAGCCTATTGCCTATTAGCCTATAAATATTGTAGAGTTAAAAATAAAATATCTTAAATTTGAGAAAAAAAAAAACGGACATTACTTATGCCCCAACTCATTATATACAATGTAATCAATACAAATTCAAAAAACATGGGCATGAGAATTTTGAATTTTCTGAGGAATAGTAACGCCACTGAATCTTTGAAGTTTTAATAATTTAATAAAAAATCCTTTAAACAAGTGTATTTAAACGAAGGAGCACAAAAAATGCTTCCAAATCATCTTGAGGAATAAATATGATAATTATGCTTAATATACAAGATGGATAAATTGCACTGGAGCTCTGCGTAATTCAAAAAGAGAATGCACTTGATGCAGAATGAGATGAGAATGCGTAGCAGGTGACCCATTGAAAAGGTATAGTCTTAGTCCAAAGTTGCTTTATTTTCCAGTAGCAGGGTGTTTAAGTTTTTGGAAGGTGTCACAAATATGCAAATATCTCGAAAGATGCTTGACGTAGATTAATGAAATTTGAGTTGGCGACTTAGCTTAGTAAGGCAAAAATTGACGGAATAACTGTAAGTACCAGTTGGTATTATGGCATCACATAATATATTGAGACGTTCTAATAAAAACAGTGTTTTAGAGAGTACATTACCTCCACGTCAAAGTAATCTCTCATTTTCATTATTTAATAACGAAAAACAATTAGTACAGTCATTGAAGCTTTTCACCTCCGAATTCTTTGAAATTGTACCGATCGACTTGAAATTTGGCAGATAGTTAGAGAAAAGGTCAATGAACATTAGTGACATAGCGCCGATTGACGCTTCCACCCTGTTGGGGGTTGACACCCCTTCTCACAAATTAAATTTTGAGCAAAAAATATTCGAAGAATTTTTTCGAGAAATCAATAATTTTTTAATTATTCACGATTGAAAACTTAGAACTTTGAGTGAAAAGAAACACTTTTTCAAAGTATTTTTCGCGAATAACTCAAAAACTAGGCATTTTATTAAAAAAAGTGTAATGAACAAAAATGTAGCTTATAAATAAACAATCGTTTTTTAAAAAGTGTTGTATGTCCTATTCCTATACAAAGTGAAAGATGGTTAGTGGAAGGGGACTTGTTTTGGGGGAATACTCGAATCGATGTATTCAACGTCAAATAATGGAAAAAGGATTAATTTTACGTGTATAACGCTCCTGGAGTTTTTTGTAGTACTCAAAAAGACCTTCAAAATGAGCACTTATAAAAGTTAATTAGAGCAAAATTGAAGGAGTTATCGTCAAAAACAGATGGGTTGCTCATATTTTTTAAGGAAAAATGAGCAGTAAACGCTGTACCATTTCCATCAGAATTAAAATTAATCGTAGACCCTTTACAATTAGTTTTGTTTTAGTGTTTTTCATACGATCCTGAAGTTAGACCGGTTTAGAATGCGTATTTTTTTAATAATGTACGGTAAAAGTTGAAAACGTATTTTTCATTATTCAAAAAAAATTGCCTTATTTATATAATAACTCTGAAACTATGAAAGATACGTAAAAAATGATAGACAACAAAAATGTAGCTTTTTTTTCAACAAATATTTTGCTTTTTTTATTCCTATAGCATAAAAAATAAAGGAGATATCGCCGCTTGAAGTATCCATTTTAGTGAAAAAACGACCTGTCTCGAGCCCTTCGATCCTTTCCCTTTAAAAAACGAAGGACTTAAAAGGTTTTATATGCAAACGATCTTACAGCTCTTGAAATTATCTTTAAAATGCTTTTTTGTAGGATACTATAGCTTCAAAATTAACCGAGTTATGGTAAAAAAACCAATGACATTTTTTCGGAGCAAAATAGGCTTTCTCATTTTTATATATTATATATTATATTATACAAATAAAATAAGTAAAAAAATTTAGTGTGATTATTTATATGCAGCGTAGCAATTTTTTTATGATTGATTATATTTAAAAATCGATTATAATAAAAATATTTTACATTAATATTGGTAAAAGGGTAGTTTATAAGAGTTGAAAATGGCAAAAGTAAAATATTCTTTCATAAACAATATAAGGGAATTTTTATTTTAAATTATTGCACAATTATAGCATTCCAAGATTTAAAACGTAATTTTTTATCATTTTTTTAGCACAGGGGTGATTTATAAGGGTTGAAAAGTGTTATGAGATACAAATTCTTTCATAAGCAATGAGGGAATTTTTATTTTAAATAATTGCACCGTTAAAGCATTCCAAGCTTTTAAAAAGTAATTTTTTTATCATTTTTGTCAATACAGGGGTGGTTTTTAGGGGTTGAAAGGGAAAAATTCTTTTATTAGCTATAAGGTAACTTTTATTTTAAATAATTGCACGATTTAATCATTCCAAATCTTTAAAAAGTATTTTTTTATCATAATTTTTTGCATAGGGGTAGTTTTTATGGGTTAAATAAAGGGTCGAAAAGATCAAATATATCA